CTCGAAAGAAAGAAAAGGAGGGGCAGGGAAGAGGGAGGGAGGGAGGGAAGGAAGGAAGGAAGGAAGGAAGGAAGGAAGGAAGGAAGAGAAAAGAAACCAAACCAAAAGAATTCCCAGGAGGTTAAGGTCAGCTTCCACTGAAGAATGAGACCTGGTCTCAAAAGAAAGCACAAGGGCTAGTGACACGGCAGATACAGGCATTTACCACAAAGCCTGAAAACCTGATAGAAGAAGAGAAACAACTCCTGAATGCTGTCCTCTGACCTCTACATACACACACAATAAATAATCTGTTTTAAATTACTAAAGAGAATAAAGAAAAAAATTCATAACATTCAGGTCTTGTGGCACAAGCCTGCCATCTTGCAACCTAGGAAGCTGAGGAAGAATTCAAAGTTCAAGGCCAAACTGCGCTATAAATTGAGTTCAAGGCCAGCCTAGGCAACACAGTGACACTTTAGGATTGAAGGTGTATGCCACCATGCCCAGCCCTATATCAAAATTTCAAAAAGTAAAAAAGCTCAGTGGTAGATTACTTGCCTACCATAGGCTCAATCCTCAGTACCACACACACACACACACACACACACACACACACACGCATGCATACACATACATACACAAACACACATATCTCCATAGTGAATAAAATATTGAAATGTTTTTTAAAGACAGGACCTAGGGCAGACAAGAAGGCTCAGTGGGTTAAGGCACTTGCTGCAAGACACATGACCTGTTTGATTCCCGGTACCCACATGGTAGAAGGAGAAAAGGGACTCCTGTACATTGTCCTCTGACCTCCACACCTGCACCATGGGGCATGTACGTTAATGTAAAATTAAAAAATTAAAAGACAGGATCTGGCCCTGTTAGATTATGGAGACATAACTAAACTGATGCCAGCTGTGGTATTCCCATGCCTGTGATCCCAGCACTTGGAAAGTGGCAGCAAAAGGCTCAGAAGTTCAAGGTCATCCTTGACCTACTTAGCAAGCTTGAGACCAGCAAGGACTGCATGAGATCCTATCTCATAAAAAACAGGAGTTGGGGGTGGGGGGTGGTAAGGAGGCTGGGACTGGAGAGATGGCTCAGTGGTTAAGAGTGCATACTGTTCTTGCAGAAGACCTGAGTTTGATTCCTAGCATCCAAATGTGGTGGCTCACAACCACCTGTAATTCCAGCTTTAGGGGAAACTAACACCTTCTTCTGGCCTCCATGGGGACCTGCACTTGTGTACACATACCCACACATAGACAGACACACACATGGGCACACACACACATGCACATATAATTAAAAAATAAAATAAACCAGGCATGGTGGCAGAACTCAGGAGACAGAGGCAGGTGGATCTCTGTGAGTTCAAGGTCAGCCTGGTCTACACAGTAAATTTCAGACCAGCCAGGGATACATAGTAAGACCATGTCCCAAAAAATATATTAATTAATTTAATAAAACTTAAAATAGCCAGGCATGATGGCATATGCCAACACTTAGAGAACATAAGCATGAGAATTGTGAGTGCAAGGCCAGCCTGGGATACACAACCAGGCCCTGTCTCAAAAAAATAAAAATACATACATATACAAATAATTTATTTTAAAAAATAAGGACTAAAGCCAGGCAAGGTGGTACACACACCATGGTGGGCCCAGCACCAAGGAGGCAGAGGCAGGTGAATCTCTCTGAGTTCAAGGCCAGCCTGGTCTACATAATGAGTTCCAGAACAGCTGGGGCTACAGAAAGATCCTGTTTCAAAAAGACAAAAAAAAAGACTAATGAGATGGCTCAAGCCTAATGACCTGAGTTTTATCCCCAGGACCTACAAGATGAGAGAACCGACTCCCTCGGTTGCTGTCTGAATTCCATACATGTGCCTTGCACATGTTAATTAATTATGAGATTATATAACAGTCCCTTGGCAGGGCTTTTGACAATCACCTTAACATTTCCCTTTTATTGAGGATCTGCTGAGTGCTTTACAAATGGGTTAGCTCACTGAACCCTCAGGAAATGCAATGGAGTGGATGTTGTGGTGTCCCTGCTTTACAGATGAGAATGCTGAGTTTCTGAGTTGTTCAACAACTTGTTCAAAGTCACACAGGGACTTTCACAAGTTTTCCCCTTTGATCTGCTATCAGAGACTTTGGGCCCCAGTCCTACTCCTAAAAGCTAACTGCAGGCAACATGGGTGTCCCCAAAAAGCTTGTCCCCTACCCTGTTCTATGTCACCACAGACGGCTCCAGTGCCAGCCCCCATGAGCTCACCTTGCTGTCCTGCATGTCCTTGTTGGCCCCATTTTTCAGCAGAGCTAAAGTGGCCTCCACATTGTTTACGGCTGCTGCCCAGTGTAAGGCTGATTTCCCTGCAGGGAAAGAAACATCAAGGTCAGGATCAGGCTCATATACCAGGTTCCCTATCACAGGATAGCATGAAGTATCTAGAAAATGGCCAAGTAGGCTTAGGAGAGTGCAGGATTGTCCTCAGCATCTGAACACATGTTTGGGGCTACATATGCCCAGATCTATAGAACTCCTCTTACCAAGGGGCACCCTTTGCATGTGTGACTCTCCATACTCAGGAGCTCTGTACAGACCTCTGTCATCCAATGCTATAGAGTCACATGTCACATTTCAGACCGAAACTAATTAAAATAAGCAAGGAGCTAGAGACGGCCCAGGGGTTAAAAGCACTGGCTGCTCTTGCAGAGGTTAAAAGCACAGGCTGTTCTTGCACAGGACCCAGGACCTGGGTTCAGTTCCCAGCACCCACACAGTGGCTAACAACTATCCTTAGCTCCAGTTCTAGAGGATCCAATGCCCTCTTCTGGCCTCCACAGGCATTGCACACATGTGGTGCACTTACATGTATCACACAAAACACTCATACACACAAAAAATAAACAAAAATTAACTTTTTTTTAAAAAAAGCAAGAAATGATCAGATGGCCCAGCAGGTAAAGGCACTTGCTTTGCAAGCCTGAACACCTGAGTTCCACCATCAGAACGCACATAAAGGTAGAAGGAGAGAATCTACTCCACAAAATTTGTTCTCCAACTTCCACACATGCACCATGGCATGTGTATAAACACACACATATAAAATAAATAAAAATAAGTAAAGTACAATGAAATCCATTTCTTTGTATGCTAACCAAAACATTAATTTCAAAAAAAAAAAGAAAAGGGGCTAGAGAGATTAAGAGCACATACTGCTCTTGCAGAGGACCTAAGTTCGGATCCCAGCACCCATGTCAAGTGGCTCACAGAGACCCATAACTCCAGCTACAAGGGATCTGATGCCCTCTTCTGGCCTCTGTGGGCACACACACACACGGCATACACTCATACAGACACACACAGACACATGCACACACATAATAAAAATAATAAATAAATCTTTTTTTAGAAAAAAAGACTGGAGGCTGGAAAGATGGCTCAATGGTTAAAAGCACTTACTGCACAATTACTTGAACCTGAGTTCAGATTCCAGCATCCAGTGTACACCTATAACTCCAGCTTCAAGCAGGACAGATAGAGGGGCCTTGCTAGCTTCTAGTCTAACTAAGAAAACATGAGTTCCAGATTCAGTGAGAGATCCCACGTCAAAGAAGTAGGCAGAGAGTGATAGAAAAGTTCACTGAATCCTTCTTGTAGCACCCTTGGACCTTGCACAAGCGCATGCACCCACACATACACATATGCACATGTGCATATATTCATACACACACAAATAAATAAATAAATAAAAATGATTGCTTTATCAAGTCCATTTTTAGAAAAATGAAAATTACAAATGAAAGGGGAAAAATATCTATAGGTTTGTAAAATATCTGATGAGGGGTTTATCTCTAGAATACATAAGGAACTCTTTTTATTTTATGTGTTTACATGTATTGCCTGCATGTATGTAAGTGCACCTGTGTTGTGCAATGCAATGCCTTTGGAGGACAGAAGAGAGTGTTGGATCCCCTGGAATTAGAGTTATGGATGGTTGTTAGCCGCCATGTGGATGCTGGGATTCAACCCAGGTCTTCTGCAAGATCAGTCTTCTGTAAGATCTGTCAGTGCTCTTAACCACTGAGCCATTTCTCCAGCCCCAAGGATACATAAGGAATTCTTATACCAATGATAAAACAAGCTCTGTGGTTGGGTGTGCAGCTGAGTAGTAAAACACCTGTCTTGCATTCATATAGGAGCCTAAGTTTGACCTCCAGTACCACAAAAAAATAGTTCTGAATAAATATTTCTTCAAAGATATATAAATGACAAATAAGCACATGAAAAGACACTCAGCTTCATTTCCCTCAGAAGAATGAAAATGATTGTTTTTTATTATTTTATTTTATGTGTATGAGTGTATTGCCTGTATGTATGTAAGTGCACCCATGTTCTGCAATGCCAGTGGCATCAGATCCCTGGAACTGGATGATGGTTGTTAGCCATTATGTTGGTGCTATGAACCAAACCTGAGTCATCTGCAAGAGCAATCAATGGGTTTTGGGGGGGTTTTGGGGGTTTTTTTTTTGGTCTTTTTGAGACAGGGTCTCCCTGTAGCCCCAGATGGCTTGGCACTCACCATGTAGACCAGGCTGGCCTCAAGCTCACAGAGATCTGCCTGCCTCTGCCTCCTGAGTGCTGGGATTAAAGGCATGCACTACCATGCCCAGTGCAACCAGTGCTCTTAACCATCTCTCCAGCCCCAGAAGAATGAAAATTAAAACACAACAAACTATCATTTTACACTCACCAACTAGGAAAATTGTAACCAGGCAGACAATAAAGTTGAGACTAGCTCATGCCTTCAATCCCAGCTACTTAGAGAGGCTGAAAGAAGAGGATCCCTTGAGTCCAGGAGTTCAAGGTGAAGCTGGATAACATAGTGAACCCCTATGTCAAAAAAAAAAAAAAAAAAAAAAAAAAAGGAACTGGAGAGACAGATCAGTGATTAAGAGCACTGGCTGCTCTTGCAGAGGACCTGGGTTCGATTCCCAGTACCCACATGGCAGCTAACACCTGTCTGAAACTCCAGTTCCAAGGAATCCAATGCCCTCTTCTGACCTCCACAAGCATTGCACACTTACATACATGCAGGCAAAACACTCTTACACATAAAATAAAAATAAATAATAAATAAACAAAATGGTTTTAAAAGCAAGAAAAAAATAGACAAGAACAAATGTTGGCAGGAATATGAAGATACTAGAAGCTGGTGATACACCACTGGTGAGACTATACATTTGTGATGTGCTGTGAAAAACAATCTAGCAGTTCCCTAAAGTTTAAACACAGAATTGCTGTATGACCCAGCAATTTCATTCCTAGGTATATGCCCAGGGGAAAGAAAAATATTTACCTACATAATAACTTCTCCATGAATGTTCACAGAAGTATTATTCATAAAAGCTAAATGAAACAACACCCAAAAGCCTATCAACAGACAAATGGTACAGTAGAGCAGCCATACTGTGGAATATTAATCAGTTAAAAAAAAATACATAAAGCACTCAGGTAGACACAGGAGGATTTCTACAAGTTCCAGACTAGCCCCATCTACAGAGTAAGTTCAAGGTCAGTCCGAAATATATAGTGAAACTCTATCTAAATAAAACAAAAAGAGAAACCAAATACTGAGCCATACTACACCCTCAGAACAGAACGCTGAGTCAAGAAGCTAGAGAGAAGACTGGAGAGATGGCTCAGCACTTAGGAGCATCATTGGCTGTTCCTGCAGAGGACCCAGGTTGTGTTCCCAGCACTCACATTCCTGGCTCTAGTTCCAATGCCCTCTTCTAGCCTCCTTGGGCATTGTATGACACAGATGCACTTACATACATGCAGACAAAACATTTATACACATAAAATAAAAATAATAAAATATTTTTTAAAGCAAAACAAAAGCCAGAGTGAAAAGCTTCATATTTCAGAATGGCCAGTGAGCTCGCTCAGTGGGCAAAGGCACTTGCCACCAGTCCTAACAACAGACTGACAACATGAATTTAATCCCTGGAAGCCACATGGTAGAAGGAGACAAATCCTCCAAGTGTCCCCGGAAATCCATACACCACCCCCCCATATACAATAAATAAATATCAGAAATAAAAATTAAAACATTTTTATAAAGAATATCCAGAAACAGGAACTGGGGATGTAGTTCAGTTGGTAAAGTGCGTCCCTGGTACACATGAAGCTGTGGGTTTAATACCTAGTACCACATAAGTCATGCATGATGACACATACTTGTAATCTCAGCACTTGGGAAGCAGAAACAAGAGGATCAGAAGTTCAAGATCATCATTGGCTACATAGCAAGTTTGGGGACAGTATGGGAATCATGTGACCCTGTCTCTCTTTTTTTAATTTTTTAAATTTTATTATTTTTATTTTATGTGTATGTGTGTATTGCCTGCATGTAGGTAAGTGCACCCATGTCCTGCAATGCACTCAGAGGACAGAAGAGACTGTCAGATGACCTGGAACTGGAGTTATGGACAGTTGTTAGCTGCCATGTGGATGCTGGGATTCGAACCCAGGTCTTCTGCAAGAGCAGTCAGTGTTGTTAACCACTGCACTATCTCTACAGCTCCTCAACCCTGTCTTTAAAAAAAGCAACAACAAAAAAAGGAAGACTGGAGCAACAACTCAGAGGTTAAGAGCACTTGCTGCTCTTGCAGAGGACATGAGCTCATTTCCCAGTACCCATGTTAGGTGGCCTACAACCACCCAGTAACTCCAGCTACAGGGGGTCTGATGCTCTCTTCTGGACTCCACAGGCACCTTCAGTAACATACACACACACACACACACACACACACACACACAAAAGCGTGTGCACATGTGTGTGTGCGTAATTAAAAAAGAAGAGTCATGCATGGTAGTCCAACATTCAGGAGGTAGAAGAGGCAGGCAGATCTCTGAGATCAAGGCTAGCCTGGTCTGCATATATAAAAATAACTTTTAAAAAGAGAAGGCAAATCTATAGAGCAAAGGCACAGAAAGCTTATCAACATTGCCCAGGGCTTGAGACATCGACTGACTAAAGGTGGATACTTAAGGTGTTAAGAATGTTTCAAAAACTGATCGCAAATTATGATTCAACAAAGTTATACATATTTTTAAACCAAGCAAAACCAAGATTAAAAACAAATTTTGGAGACACTGTACTATTCAGCTTTACCTGTCAACTTGACACAGCCTAGAGTCACCTAAGAGTCACCTAATGTCAACTGAGGCATTACTCAGATCACACTGGCCTGACAGCATTCTTGTGGGGGATTGTCTAGATTGCTCATTGATGTCAGGAGGGTCTAACCCACTGTGGGTAGCACGACTTCCTGGGTAGGAGGTCCTGGACTGTATAAGAAAG